ACAGAAGCGGCCATTGCTATATTTGTGGTTCCTTCTGAAAACTTTTATTATGAGGATGACCGTTTCTAGAGCTCGCATCGAGTAATGGGAATCTTATGGTTCAAGAGCACATGTGGTATTCTTCCACAAAATGACAGAAACAAAACAAGTTCTCAAAATTAGCACAGCAAATGAAAAGTACTCTGCACACACGGTACCGTTACAGTTCTCCGCTGCATGTATAGGACAATAGAAATGCAATACGAAACACGGCTCGATCAGGAGAATGAAAACAAAATGTGGTGTTTGATCGCTAATACAGAAAAGCGAAGAGGCAGGAAGTAGAAACTATGGTCACTTTTTCATTAGAAATCAGTTGAATACACAACTTCGGCTTTCGAAATTCCACAACTCGTTGAACAAAGTGTTTTACAAAGGCTCGTTCATTACGGAATTCAAACGAGTCACGTGAGAACTAGAAATGTTCGTGGTAGTCCTGTCGCGAAAGCCCAGAGCGCAGGGAAGCAGTGGATAGCGGCCGCAAAGGCATCGAAAGGTGCAAAGAACATATGCGAGCCAAAGGGGTAAGCTCTTTCAGGGAGGGAGACTCCGGGGTGAACGATTCATGCGTAAAAGTTTGAATGTGTAAGGTCACCGTAGTAAAAAAAACATGTAGACATGAGAACGCTGGCTCAATTGAAGGAACTGAGTAGTCCGTAGACAAAAAGGGGCGGAGTTATCTAGGGGCGGGGCATGAGGGTCCACTGTGTGCAGAAGAATGTGTAGTGGACACTTCCCGTAAGATTGGCAAAAAGGGCCGGTTCACGGAAGAATCTTCAAAAAAGGGGTTGCGGATGGCTGAGTGTTTCTTTTTTGGGATTCTTTCGCGAAGCGGCCCTTTTTGCTCGCGGTGTTTTTTGCACCTTAAGATGCCTCGGCCGCCGCCCTAGTCTGTTTCTCCGCCGAAAAACACACAGCCAGGGTACAGCATCGTTGTGCGAAACCCATGGGGGGGGGGTCGTACTTGGCCGCTGGGGAGGGGGGGTCGTAATCTCAAGGGTCACTCAGAGCCGAGCAATGCTTCGACATTTCAGTTGATAGTGGGAGTGGAGCTATGGAAGTCAAGATGTTTAAAAAAATGAAGTTTATTATGAGTGTATTCTTTACAGCTTTAAATGCTACGTTTAACAGCCCTCTTTTCATGGGAAATCCCCAAGAATGGGTTCGTACTTGGCCGCGGGGGACGTGGGGAGTATCGCAAAAGTAGGCTCGCTAGGCATCAAACAGTACAAAGGTGTCATTGCTAAGGGTAATGGAACGGACGGAAAGCTTCAGAAGACCCGGATGTAAA